CATTCTGTGTATGCCTGCTGCTTCCACGGTGGAAAAAGAAACTCAACAGGCTTGCCTGAAAGAAGGGCTGCTTGGACTATAGCACTCCAGTGACATCTGTTAACTGTATTATGTTCATAGCCTTTGAGTTCCTCTGAATTCAGAATTGTTGGTGAGCTTCTGGCGTATTATCTAGGATGGGAACCATTTTTCTTATTTTTATGACAGCATCTAATAAAGTGACATTTAGACCCAGACACCTAATATATGTTCCTTAATGATAAAATGATAAGGAAATGAGGCTTGATGGTGAATTGCTGTTACTCCCTGCTGAGAGGCATTTCCAGAATTGCTTTGTGGATCCTAGAGAACTCACTTGCCTGCATGTTTAAGTAAATCTGGAGCTGATGAGGGGAAAGTGTGGGTTTGATGTCCTAAATTACTGAGATAGATTGGTTTTTAAAGGTCCTCATGCTTGTTACTCTTTAGTGCCAGATTAAATCAAAACCAGTCTGGCCCTAGGGGCCCCTGCACTGTCAGCATAAATGCATACAGACACACACTAAGCATAGCATTTAGTTCCCCCTTTTAAATGGATGCCAAAATATTTTTAAAAAGAAAATGGAAATAGTTTTTCTGTTTTTATTCATAAGTGACCTCATTTAATTAAGACAGCAAATGGGCCAGGGGAGAAAGGAAATGGGTGCTGGAGAGTAGGAACAGAATATTAATTGGTAGTTATAACCAGCCAGGGGCAGGACCCACGTCTAGAACTGAAACTGTGATTAAGAATGCCACACCTCTTGGCCACTTCTGTTCATTTGATTTCTGTGGGGGCCTTGGTTATTTTTCCTTTCAGTACGTGCTGCAAACTTCCCTTTGTTCACACGAACCAATACAAGAAGAGCTCTAATGGAACCAGCTACCAGGGGTGGCAGAAAAGGATCAAGAACTGACTGACCTCTGACACTTAGACTGTATTCTTATAAACAACACACATGGATTGTGTTTGCATTGGTCTTCGGGAGCTTCTCTTTCCAAAGACTGCCTTCTAGGAGTTTCTGGGAAAATGTGGGGTTTTTTGTTTGTTTGTCTTTTGAGACAGGGTCTTGCTCTGTTGCCCAGGCTAGAGTGCAGTGGCATCATCATAGTTCACTGCAACCTCAAACTCCTGAGGTCAAGCAATCCTCCTGTGTCAGCCTCCCAAGTAGCTGGGACTACAGGAACACGTCACCACACCCAGCTAATTTTTCTATTTTTGGTAGAGAGGAGGTCTCATCATGTTGCTCAGGGTGGTCTTGAACCCACCTCAAATGATCCTCCCACTTTGGCCTCCCAGAGTGCTATGATTATAAGTGTGACCACCATGCCTGAGTACAAATTTGATTTTGAGTCAGTAATATATCCTGGTTCCTCCTGGCAAAGCTGTTAAGGCAGCAGGGAAGGGGGAAATAGAGTTCAAGATGAATGCAGCCCTCCTAGTTGGACACACATTTTATGGGTTAACTTTGAGTCTTTCGTTTTTTTTCCACAACTAGCAGAGGCCTAAGCTTTGAAGCCTGTTTTCTGCTTTGCGCTGCTCCTTTGTGTCTCATGGAAGCTTGAGGTGATTTTGACTCCCCCTTGTCATTTGCTCCTACATCAAGAAGGCCCAGGGCTTCATTCCTACATACTAGGCTCTCCTCCACAGCTTGGCTTTTAACAAAGCTGGCTGGACACACAAGGATTGCCCTCAGGACCTCAAACCTCAGTGCACCAAGAGCATTTGCTGTCTCTGCTCCAGCCTTTCCCCAGATTAACCTGAGAAGTGCCCAACGGGAAGTCCTGACAGAAACCTGAAGGAAGAGGGGCCATTGCTCCCTTCTCTCACCTGGCTGAAGTGGCTATTGAAATTGCTAAGCCTGCTGTCGGAGGGCAGAATTTAAAATGGGGAAAGAGAAGCACAAACTGGGCTGGGCTACTCAGGGACTGACACACTTGTCAGAAGGTTTACACCAGGGAAGAAAAGGAAGACAGAGCTAGACCTGGATTGGGGTCCACCACTCAGTGAATGAGCTGGCAGGTTACTTCATCTCAGCAAGTGTCAGTTTCATCACACATAATATTGGAATAACAGTCCCTACCTCATGGGATGTGAAAATGATTCAGTGAGATTATAATTTTGTTGTTATAAAATGAAAGTTTTGGCCGGATGCGGTGGGTCATACCTACAATTCCAGCACTTAGGGAGGCCAAGGCCGGAGGATCACTTGAAGCAAGAGTTTGAGAATGGCCTGGGCAATGTAGCAAGACCCCATCTTTTAAAAAAAATTATATATAAAGAGAGAGAGAGACAGACAAACAAACTGACCGACAGAGACAGAGAGACGGAGAGAGAGAAAGTCTTTCGGGATTGGTCAGTATTGTCTTGAATTCTTTTCTTGATTTTCGTTTCTGGTTTTCTTGTCCAGGCCCTGAGCAGCTAGTGAATTCCTCTGGCCTTCTCACCCCTCCCAGCTTGCCAGCCAGAGTTTCGGACAGATAATCTGCAGCTGTGGTACAGAAACTAGATGGCCTGTGAACCAGCGATACAGCATTTGGTGACAGCAGTACCTTAAGTAGATCAGTGATACATGTACCACTTGCTTCAGAGCTCCCATTTGATTCTTACAAGAGTTCTGGGAGGTGCACAGATTCTCTCACTCTACCAAAGAAAATAAGACCCAGAAAGCAATCATATTTGTGCCACCACAGTAGTAATTGGTAGAACCCAGTATTAGAACACAAATGCCTTAACTCTTTATCCGGGACTTTTGTGATGAGAGCCAGAATTCTTGCTGTTCAGATGAAAGTTTAGAACTCTGCCACAGAATCCTAGCTCTACTGTCCCCAGTCACTTTGTATCCGTTTCTTACAGAATATTCATTACTTCATTGCATGAATATTTTTTTTTTTTTTTGAGACAGAGTCTCACTCTGTTTTCCTGGGCTAAGGTGCCATGGTGTCAGCCTGGCTCACAGCAACCTCAAACTCCTTGGCTCAAGCGATCCTTCTGCCTCAGCCTCCCGAATAGCTGGGACTACAGGCATGCGCCACCAGGCCCGGCTAATTTTTTCTCTATATATTTTTAGTTAGCCAATTAATTTGTTTCTATTTTTTAGTAGAGACAAGATCTCGCTCTTGCTCAGGCTGGTTTCGAACGGCTGACCTTGAGTGATCCTCCCACCTCGGCCTCCCAGAGAGCTAAGATTACAGGCATGAGCCACTTCATCCAACCTGCATGAATAAGTATTGAGGATATACTGTGTGCCTGGTACTGTAGGCACTGGGGATACTGTGGGAAACAAAGAAAAAGACACCCCCCACCCCGTGCTCTGATAGGGCATATTGTAAAGGTGGGAGACTGACAGTAAACAAATAAGAAAAATATGTTGTATTCCTATAAAGAATGTCAAGACAATAGAGAGGGCTGTGGAGAAAAGTAAGGCAGAAAAAGAAGCTGGAGTGGGGTGGGCTGGACTCTATGAGTTTTCTCTTGGTTCTTTTTGCTTATTCTCATTTAGGTTGTTTATTCCCTGCTCGTTTATCACACCCAGTACAGGTTCCTGTAGAGCAGGGCTTTTGGAGACTGATTTTGGAATTGAACCAGCTTTGCTCAGTTAAAGCAGGTGCAGGAGGCATCTGTTTAGCCACTGAAATGCCCAAGACCTTCCTTTCCTGTAAGAACTGGGACAGCCTGGATGGTACCCGGGAATGCTCTGGTGGATTGGGGAGGGAACCTGTACTGGTTTTTCTTAGACATTATTTGTTAAATCTAGAGCTCCCCCTGCTGTTAGTATATGGGATTGGTGCTCAGTGGCACTTATAAGACAATTTTTTTTACCCTAAGATTTAAAAAATTAAAAAAATATATAAGTACTTGAAGCTTTCTTCTGGGACTACTGTTGCTGAGGCCCAGCCCCCACTGGGGGGAAGGGCAGAGGAAGCACAAAGGCCCAGGCAGGATAGGGTCTATCTGTGCTCTTGCTACTTTTAGCGGCTCTTTACCCTGCACTCCCACCACAGCCAGCAGCCTAGCAAAAGTTATCTCCCTGCACAGTTTTACAGCTGTTCTGAAATTCTAGGGCTGCAGAAGTGAAACCGACCACAGACTTGTAAATTTCTCTTTTATTGCCATTGTTCCCTACTTGAAGTGAGTCAGGCCTTTCCAAACTCTTAATCCTCAGAATGTCTTAAATTGTTATTTGTCTTTACAGCCAAGTTTTTGACAAAAGGAGACAGACCTTTTATTCATGGTGCATTGTTTCTAGAGGGTCTTGGTTTGGCCTTCCCACCTGAACATTGCTTGCAGGAGTTGAGACCTGTGGTCTGTGTGGTAGTATCCCCAGAATAGAGCTGAGCCTTTCTCGTCAGCGGTCGGTGGTGTGTGTTCCTTTACCAAGTTCAGCCATATGATTGCTGTGAAATTCTTTTAGTCCTTAGAGATGAAATTCAAGTTAACTTTAGCAGCACTTATTAAAATTAAAGAAGGAAATGGCACCTGAATGGACATATATCTTTTTGGTTTTACTGTCCCACAGAAACAGTTTGGCCACTCTATGATTCCTAATGAAGTTGAAGAAGTAAGGCCGACCTGGCATGCAGCTCTGCCCCTCCCTGTGTCCAGGTCTCCTGAGAGTAACATGAGGCCTAGCAGGTGTTCTTGGAGGTTTGGCTGATAAGGGGCCATTTGTCAGGGACAGTCTAGTAATGGTCCAGGGTATTTTTTTAAGTTTTATCCCATAGGCGCACTTTATAGACCTCAAGCTTAGGCAGTGACTATTCCCACTGGGAATCATAAAGTAACCAAAACTGTTTTGTTGGAGTAGCTGAACTATAAAGATATATGCTTACTCAGATGTCGTTGCCTTCTTCACTTCAGCTGATATTAATAGTACTGCTAAAATTAACTTGAATTTAAGATGCCTTCTCCACTGAAAATTGTAGCACTAGACATGATGCTTCACTATAAGGTAATTCTTTTATGGTTCTTCTCTCAACAGCTTTGAAAAGTCCAGCTGCATTTCATGAGCAGAGAAGGAGCTTGGAACGGGCAAGGGTAAGAGACCTTTCTTCCCCCAAGGACTCCCAAAGAGCATTTTCAGAGCTCACTGAATTACTGGTTATATTTCCTTCCAGTCTAGCAGGACTCTAGGGTCAGCCGTGGCCTCACAGTTCTAAATAGAAACTTTATACCTAACCTCAGCCATCTCCCATGGTGATTATATGGAACACGATTGGAACGAAGTTGCTCCTTTAGTACATGTAAGGATATGGAGTGATTACCTGATCTTCTTTCCCTGAACCTTGCTTTGGCACCCCGGGTATTTCCACATCTTCAATTCCACTTCACCTCTTGTGGGTGTTAGGACATGAACATCAGCCATGGGAAAGCTTCCTGAGTCTAGGGCCACATTGCCCACAGCTCTGCAAGACCAGGAAACCTCCCTGATCTCTGTCTTTCCAGAGCAGCCAGTGTCCACTTGGCCCTTGTGGAAAGCAGAAGCTGGCCTGCACGTCAAGCCCAGGTTTCCTGCTGCAGCACCTTACTTGTGTCCCTGTCCCACTCTCAATTTCAGTTCCCCAGGGGCCCCTGGGGAATATTCTGCTGCTTATTGTGGGCAGAGATGAGGAAGTTGCCAAAAGTTTCTTCCCCCTCCCACTCCTTTTACTTTTTTCCTTTACATTAAGTCAAGGAAAGAGAACCCCTACAAAGGGAGGACTATGGGCCATGGCTTCTGGAAGACCCACAATTCTTTTAGAGACTTGGAAATACTTACCTCCAAGACTGTTCTTATTTCCTCTCTATTTTTTTCCCCCTAGAAAATCATGATTACTTCTTAGAGGGAGTGAGAAGAATGAGGTCATGGGCACTGGGAACCAAAGCAGTAAGGAGTAGCAGCAGGGGCAGAGGAGTGGCATTGCCTGCGCCCCCACCGGTCAGGAGACTTGGCACCATTTCCTTGACTGCTTCTCACATAGGAAAAGAGCAAATGAGAATTAATTAGAAGTTACTGTTTTATTGAGCACTTTTATATGTGAGATTATGTCTGTTTTTTATTTATCCTCACATTAACTCTTATGAATTAGGGGTTATCATCCTCATTTTGTAGATGCAGCTGAAAGGTTAACTAACGTGTCCAACAAAGTGGCAAAGCTGAGACTCAAACCCTGGTCTGTGGATTCTATGTTTTTTTTAAGTAAAATAATTTTATTTCCTAACACATGGTAACCATATACATCCAGTATGTACCTATCTTACACATCTGTTCACAAATGACTTCCAAATCTCAATCACTGCTTTCGCATTTAAGCATGTACTAAGAATTATCTTAGTTGATATATGAAAAATGAATATATTGGATTGTTGTGGTGTTTTTTTGGGGTTTTTTTTGAGACATAGTCTGACTGTTGCCCAGGCTAGAGTGCCATGGCGTCAGCCTAACTCAAGCAACTTCAGACTCCTGGGCTCAAGAGATCCTTCTGCCTCAGCCTCCCAAGTAGCTGTGACTACAGGCATGTGCCACCATGCCCTGCTAATTTTTTCTATATATTTTTAGTTGACCAATTAATTTCTTTTTATTTTTTAGTAGAGAATGGGGGTCTCGCTCTTACTCAGGCTGGTTTCGAACACCTGACCTTGAGCGATCCACCCGCCTTGGCCTCGCAAAGTGCTAGGATTACAGGCGTGAGCCACCATGCCCAACCTATATTGGATTATTTATAGCAAAATTTGCTTTTAGTTAATTCTGAAAACTTAAAGCTTTGAAAAACTATTACATTTGCATTTCATACTTCCAGATGAATAAGATATAGTAATATCAGCTTGTATTCCTTAGATAGCTCATTTGTTCTTCCAGTGATGGAACCAGTCACTTAACATCTGCTGGTGCTGTGTAGGCAGCTTCATATGGTGGTAGAGGAACAGCCATGGTGGCTTTGGCAGTGTCAGGGGCACACTTACAAGGGCTCTCAGATAATCTTGTATTCCCATAGCTGATTCCTTTTCCATCAGTTTTCTTAGACACTAATGCTCTCCCATGGTCATGAATGCTTTTAATGATATCAGTTGCAAAGTCCTTATCTTTAAATTTTGTACTGAAAGCAAACTAGTTCTCTGGTTTTCTGTCAAGAACATTGTACCTTCTAAACCAGCCCTGAGTAGCTTCTGGGTAGCCAGGTTTTAGCCATTTGACATCTTTAACATGTTTACTATTTGTTATAAAGGATACAACTCAGAAACAGCCAGGTAGAAGAGATTCATAGGTATGTGGGAAGGGGCAAAGGGCTTCCATGCCCTTTCTGGGTGGTGTGCCACCCTCCTAGCACCTCCGTGCATTCACCAGTGCAGAAGCTGCTCCGATTATTTCCTTTCCTTTCCTTTCCTTTCCTTTCCTTTCCTTTCCTTTCCTTTCCTTTCCTTTCCTTTCCTTTCCTTTCCTTTCCTTTCCTTTCCTTTCC